CCTGAACCCCCCAGATACAGCCTTTCTGGACACTATGGGAAGAGTTACGTTTTTCAAGTTTTCATTTTGAGTTTTTGTTTATGTCAATACGTAAGATTTGATTGCCGTATACGAATAAGTATAAATATAATTTTCACCGGTTTAAGTAGGTTAAATAACTGACAATTGTTATAGAAATTTAAATCTATAATTTAATTAAATAAAATGTATTTATTCATTATTTTATTTATTCATGTTTTTTTTTTTATTTATTTATTTATTTTACCATCATTTACTCATAAATGATACAATATATTTTTAACCATACATTTTTTTCTTCTTCAATAATATATTAAGGAAAATCATAAAATGTATTAATTAAAATAGTTTAAACTATAAATAAACCATAAGCTATGCTTTCTTTGTTCTTAATTAAGTTTTAAGATGTTTTTGTAAACATACTAACGCACAAGTTGAACATAAGTACACTCAGCGAACCACAATATTTTTTGAATTCATTTTTTTTCATGTTTTTCCAATAAAAATGCATTGTATAGCTATGATAACTCGGTAACATGAAACAGTCTAACTGAAAAGTATTGTTTCCGAAAAAAAATTAATGTTCTTATGCGATTAAACTTTGTTTCAAATATGTTTAAGCTCAGTTGATTTTAATATTTTAACTATGATTTTTTCAATCTGATGTGATTTTAAGCGTTGGACATTATTATTTTGCTTTTACCATCGCTTATTAAATAATAAGTCCCTCCCTCTCACTGATTTCCAATAATGGTTTCTACATCTCAATAATATTATATTGTATTTATCTAATACGAGTACATGTATTTTAAACTATTAATCGTTATGCTCAAATATCGTATGAATAAGTGTAATAAAAAAAAATTAAAAAAATTTAAATTAAATAATACGTTTCATACGGAAAATCCTTAGAGTTCATTAAACAATACGAGGAGTTCATGGAGTTTAATAAAGTTCATTCAACGGACAGGCGTGTGCGTGTTTCTATTAAAATGTACAACCCGAGGTAAAAGCCGCTAATTACTATGGGGTTTCGTGATCGTGAAGCGTTGTTCATAACACTAAATCGTCCGACCAGATTTCACAACATTGAGTTAAAAAAGAAAAAAGCTTTTAAAAGTTTTACAAATTAAGGAATTCTTATCTAATAAAAATTACTTTTCAAAAACTTCTTCGCCCATTCCGTTGTACTCAGTTATGTTTATTTTATTCGACAAAAAGTAGCGAATAGAATATTCAGTACCTGTGTAAATTTATGTGGGACTTAAAAGTTTTCCTGAATATTATAATAAAGTATACGTATATAATTTGGTTTTTGACGAGGTAATGACGACAGTTTTACATGTGTACAATTACAGATTTTCGAAAACTTCTTCTCATCATCATTATTATGTCTTAATTTTTGTTATTCACGATTATTATTTGATTTATTTGTCAATAATTTAATAAAAATACAAAAAAAATCCATTCGTAAAAATGTGATATTACGTTGTGAACGGTATTTAATTCAAATACGATCATAAATTATTTTCGACATAATTATACACGGGCCAATGTGGTTGAAATATTTTTCACGAGTAAATCATGAGTTCAATCATTGCATAATAATATAAAATATATACGAATGTATCATGTACGCATCTCGCAACTGGACCAATATTAATATAGTAATATAGTTAATGTAATCATAATAAACTTGCTGTGTTTTACCAATTATCATATACGCCAATCATATTTGTAAACACAATCGCACAACTTATTATAAAATATGATTTATAATACGAATAAAAACAGTTATAATTTTATATTTACGTATCAAATTCAACAATTAATTTAGCTCTCCATTCAGTATTGCTTAGTCCAATTTTATACATTTTAAATCAACTTAAGCTTATTTGAAAATTGTCATCCCTAAACTCGATTTTCTGTTATATATTTTAAATATTTATATAAATATATATAAAATTAATAAATGTATTCATTTATAACCTATTCATTTTTATTTTATAAAATTTAAATTGTAATTAATTTTAAAACAAATTAAATTCAAGATGACCATAGCAGATAAGTTAAAATATTAAATAATTATTCAATTTATATAACAATTATATTTTTTTTTTTAAGTATTTTTTTTTTTTACTACTTGAATAATATATTATTTATTATTTGTTATTCTTCAAGTCGGTAAATAATATTTAATAATAATTTTTATAAATTTTAATAAATTTAAAAAAATTAGCATTACCTATTTCTATTTCTCCATCAAACTAAAATAGCTTAAACTTACTAGCTATTATACTCCTAGGTAAATTATATTTTTGACTACTGGTTTCATTAGCATTGAGTCTATGTCATTTTGTCATTTTTACTATCGTTAAAAAAAAGTCCGCAAAATTTGTTCAGATTACCCCCCCCCCCCCATCTTCAAAAAAAATTAAAAAATAAAAATTTATAGTATCATTAAGTCCCTAGTTGGTTTTTTTTTTTCTTGTCACTTAAACGATGCCGTCAATATTGACCGTGTCTTGAATAATGAAATTCTTCTTCTTTACTTGCGGTGGAAAATAAACTTTGAAATAACTGCTCAAAGTCGTTGGGAAATCTCTGTGTACAAAATCTCACAAAATATAATCACACAAACACAACTACAGAATCCAAAAATATCACGTAAGATCAACACGTACTAACATGTGGAGTCAAGAAGTCAGATTCATGTAAATAACACATTTACACACACGCACACACACACATATATTCATGTTAATTTCAAAATTAATGTATACACTTTAAGTAAAAAATAACCTATACGTAACACACAAACACAGAAAAGTCGTATAGTAACGAATCACGAGTTGGGCGCCAATATACGCCGATCGAATCGTACGTATAGACACAAACGCACAACTTAAATGGAGATAACACTTGAAATAACGCATGTGTTTCCCGTTGTGGTCGAATTACATGACCGTCACAGAACGCCTGTTTATTCGTACACGTCTTCTCTCTTTTATCATTTCGTTTAATTTAATTAAACATAATTATTACCCACATACCAGTTGACAGTATTTTGTTCAATGATTATCGTGCAATTGTTTTCTCATATTCTGGGGCGTATTTATATATTTCCCGTGTCTAGGCCTGTGGAAAATTGCCACTTTAAATAACTAAAATAATGTGACGTACTAATTTAATTATCATTTAATTACCTTCTTCTTCTTTCACAGCTTACGGCTCACTAAAGGCCAACGCTGTCTTCCATACGCCTCTCCATCGCTCCTTGTTACCTGCATCTTTCCCAAGCATCGTGTTATCTAAGATTCGGAGATCCTTTAGTGCTGTATTCAACCACCTTTGTCTAGGCCTTTCTCACGGTATTTTTCTATTTAATTTCTTGTATAATATTTCCTTCAATTTGCTTTTTTGCTCTTCAGACATGTCCAAGTCGTTGTATCCGCTTACTTTTAACAAAGGCAACAACGTTAGGGTGTTTAAATAGATTTATTAAGTTTTCGTTATGCCTGATTTCGTACTGCTGCGTAGAAGTTTTGTAGTAAGAACCATTTATTCTTCTTAACACTTTACATTCAAACCATTTAATAACCTACTATAAAATATATATTAATTAGTTAAGTATTCAAAACAAATTTTGATAAATACTAAAACAAAACTTCTTAAGATTTAAACCATTTTTATTGAAAATAAATAACGAAAATTCTTTAAATTTGCCTGTGTAGGTTTATATATAATTTTCCTATAATGTCTGCAAATAAATACACCACTACTCATATTCTAAGAAGTTAGATTAATCTATTTTCTATTGGGACATGAGTATACAGTTATTTCAATGTGTCTTATACTTCCTGTAGCATAGATTTATTGTTATTAACGTTGCTTAACACTATACAGTGCATTAATCCAAATCGATTTTCCTAAGTCAGTATTTTTTTTGCTAGAGTATTCAATAAAAATTTATTTAATTATTCACTTACGTGTTGTGTGGTATATTTTTTCAGTAATTCTCCGTAAATAATTGTTGTAAATCGATTGACTTTTTTTTTTTTTTTTTACATATTGCTTAAATAGCATAACTAATATACGGTGTCGTTTGAACGAGAAAATAATTTAATTTGATTTTTACAATTATGATTATTTGATTGACGCATTTTTTGTAATACAGATTAAATAAATTAACTGAGATTATTTGATGTATCATTTCGTGTGTTTCGTACGGGACACACTATTTGAGTGATTCATCTCATATGTAATCCATCGGACGTTTTAAACATTATGGTAATATTTATTTTAATTTGGAATAATCTGAATTTGAAATAGATAACGAAATACGATGTAAAAACGTTGAATTATACTCTGGTATTATATTCACACTGACGTGATATTAATTTCTGCATAAACTGTATCCCATTATAATTATCAATAGTTATTATCGATTGTAGTGACCAATTAGATATAAAATATTAATGTGAGGTTTTCTAGTCCTTTAAAATATATTCAACTGTCGAGAGCATAAAGAAAAAAGATCTTAAAATTAAAAATAAATGTAGATTGGTTCAGATAATTACTTGTGTTAAGGTTTTATACATAATATAACTATGAATATCTACATCGAAAAAATAAGAAATTCAGTTACAATGGATGGTCGTTGTGGCCGAACTTCCGTTTCTTACATATATTCGATATTGGCCAAAACCCATATGATAAAGGAGACTAGAGTAGGGCGAAGTGCTTAATCAGCTAATACACATATTGACATACTATTTTTATAAGCTAATTATAATGTAAAGATCGTTACAGTAGTTTGCGCACAAAACGTTCTGTACGTAATATTACTATACGGTTTACAAGGTGTCGGTTTTTTTTTTTTTTTTTTTTAACGAAATACACTGTTATAATGGTACAACTATATATTATTTATTATTATTATTATTTATTAAAATACTACATCTGTTGGATATTATCTACAGGTACATGGCCATTGTCCATCCGTTGCGGCACAGACGGTCGAGGACGAGAACAAGAACGGTGCTCGTGTTCACCTGGCTTATCAGTGTTTTTCTAGCCATGCCGTGCATTCTGTACTCCGACATAAAAACAAAAAGGTTTGTACGAAACGTCCAATTCAATGTCAATATTATCTTTTTTTTTTTTTTTATTAGATAATCTACAATCTGTTACGGTATTACATCTAACTCGATTAACACACCATTATCGCCCATAACTGTAATGTTGTTTAATCGTCGTGCACACCGTTTCTGCGGTAAACGAGCAAATCATCTGGTAGTGCATCTAAATGTCGATATCCCGTTCATAATTATAATACCATTATGTTGACAATTCGGTTATTCGTGCGAATTCGTATCCGCTTAATGATGATTTTCGTCATGCGCGTAGTTTCAAAAGCTATACAACATTTCTGCAGTGATGTTCCCATCAATTTTATTGAGAGTGAACTACGCCGAAAAACGTCCGAATATGGACATTGTACGATTTAGGCGATGAGAAAAGGTTGCAAATATTGACAGACGATTGAAACGCGTACATATGTGTTTTTTACGGAAGCAGAAACAAAAATTATTTAAATAAATTTACACCGCCAATTATTACTCCATTGCGATACACTAATCGTCCCAGGTAAAACTGAATGTCTATTACAAAATACATCCAAAACTAAAACCTGTAGAACTAATGACATTTTATACTTATCCGCGAAACACTTAGAACTTGAAAGTATACGTGGTACACCCGTACATTTTCAAAATAATGTTGATTATTACCCGGCGCACACTTAGTATACCCTATGGGAACACCACTGCATTTCAGAAACATTAGCAATAAAGTTTGACAAAACACATTTTTTACGAGTATAAACTTACAGGCGTACAGACGCGGTTGGTTCAAAACAATAACGATACGGTAAACCGTTTTATCATTATCATTCGGGCGGTTCGCGATAAAATACAAAGATTTCATTATTCACAGAGCAGGCTCAGCATGTTTTGTCGTATACGTTAATTTTTTTCTTAGATTATTTTGTTTTGTTTCAAATTTATAATTGGGGGAGGGGGAGGCTGCGTGCGAAAAACATGATATACAATTCATATTTCCGTCCGTTATTCAGCACGGAGAAATAACTTTAAAATTTTTCTGCCTGGTAAAATTGTGAAATTGCCGTTTTACAATGAAACAATTTGTAAAAATGTTAAGGTATTGCAATGAAAATCCAGTGATTTGTTTCATAATTACGTTTTTAATGTAAATTTCAAAAAGGTAGGGAAGCGTTATACGTATCTTATATTTAACGAAAATGATAATAAATAATCAACATATAGATAACATTTTCAACAACAGAAATTTTGTACATACGTGTCAACACATATCGCTATGGTATACCATAGTATACTATAGTAAAGCGTTAAACGGAACCACGCAAATGTGTAAAGTAAGCGAACCTATCAATGTGACCAGAAAGAACTAAAAATTATCAAACTTGACGCTTTTCTTCATTTTTAATCTTACATTAGGTAGTGTTATAACACTATATTACGTTATTCATACGATCCCTCACTATGAAACCACATCAAAACGCGAAAGTTGGAATAAAAAAAGTAACACTCGCGGAGTAATTTCCGTCGGAAAAACATGCTGGGCCACCGTGTTTATAGCACGTGCATAATATATTGCCGGTAATATGGATGATTTTGGTATTATGCGCGATTCCTAGGCATTATGAATAATGCTGGTTGGTCTTAGACAATGTGGATAAAACACATTAATCACGAATTTATTTCAGGCGATTTACCTGGGCGTTATATTATAAGCTGCCATTTATATTGTCTTAGGAAAAGTATAAAAAAAAAAAAAATAACGATGAATTAGTAATATTTAAGCTGAGCATTTTCGTTCTTTACGGGATAAGAAAGTTTTTTTGTTTTGTAAAATCGATCGAGTATTATAAAAGTAATTACTTATTGATGAAACAAACTTTATACATATTTTTTGCTTTGATTTTCTAAATTATCTGATAACTTGTCATATTTTTCATCAAATAATTCAACTAGGTACTGTTATTAACTAAATGTTAGCGATTTTTGTGTGATTCATTATAATATTTTAATGCTGACTTTATGTACCAAGAACTGGAAACTATACATTTTTTCGGTTCCGGTTTTGGTTTTGGTTGTTCAATTAATTTTTTAAGGGTTCCGGTTTAGATTTTGGTTTTTTAAAAGAGTAAGAGTTCTAGAACCGGTTAATTTTGGTTAATTCTAATTATTTAAAATTTATTAAAATATAATATGAAATTATTTATTTATTCTTGTTTAAATTGTAATTGTTTCATTTCATGAAAATAAAAGGTATTATGAATAGTTAAAAAAAATAATTATAAATATATTAAATATATATAATTATATCAGCCTATTATATTTCTTTGAGTTAGGTTAAGTTATTTTATTCCAACTCGTAGTAAGAATTTGTAAAATATTTTGTAATATTGTAAAATATTATGATTTGATGAAATAAATATCTTTAATTTAAAATTTAATTTTAATTAGCAATCAAAATTAATACTGGCTACTATTGTAGCTACAATTTTTTTATGAACATTAATTATATTTAATACTTAATGGACAAGATAGATAATATACTTATTATAAATTTTAATATATTAATAATCATACAAAAAAAAAAAAATAAATAATAATAATAATATTAATAATATTGAAAATTTACTTATTATATGCATTACACAATTACAGTTTACAACACAAAATAATAAAAACATAAAAAGATTTGACATTTATTTTTCTGAATCGACTAATGGACAAACAAAATAGTCTTTATCATAGTATTACTAGTCTAAATAACTTATCTAAATTAACCCTTTTATAATTAAGGTTACGGTTACGTTTACGGTTTACATTTTTGGAAATAAAGGTTTCGGTTTCAGTTACGGTTCTTAAATTTTAAAGTTTGACCGGTTCCAGTACCGGTTCTTTTCGGTTACGGTTATGGTCCCTGTTATGTACACTAAACATTTGTCATAATATCGTGATTAAAAATATATACATGAAAAATGAACAACACTCTTTATTCGTGATCGCAACTATCGTACATAATACCAATCATTTGTTATTACATTAAAGTTGTTATATTTTTTCTATTCGTTTGTTTTTATTCAATAATTTACATTTATAATTTTTTTCGTGTTACCTCATAATAAGTCGAATATGTCATATGCATATATAACTGCATAAATGACCGGGTAAATGGAAGTAATAATATAAAATGATACATTACGTTCTGGAAAACCAACTTGAAATACGAAGGGTCTTGTTTGACTCGCGATAATATAATAAAAAAAAAAAACTTTATGAGCGCAAAACAACGTTTATCGGGTCAGCTAGTCATGTATGTTCTACAATAAACGTTTATACCTACGCACTCGGTTTTCGGTAACTAATTGATGGTTAATCGGTAAACCGATGCCTAGGAAACGCAAAGGTTGTGTACGTTTCTTAGTGATTTTGGGCATAACGGGTCATCCGTGTACTGCCGATATAATGGTATTATACACATTACGCTTGTACGGTGTTGTTTGCTCCTGTAGGTAACGGTTGTAACGAACCGTCGTACTGCTATACTGGTGAACATTTACAAACCATGATACACAACACGCGTTTCAGTGCCCGCCTCTTTGTCTAACCGTCATTGAAATTTTTTCAAAAACAAAAATCGAAGAAAATAAAAAACTATTAAATATCAAAGTACCTGCTTATATATTTCACCGACTTAGGCTAGGGATCATCGAATTTAAAGAAGCTCTTCCCTCTCTAATGTTACAACCTTGATCTTGGTTTCGCATCATATTTTTGTCGACTATCGTGTATTCCCCTGCATTCGCGTTCCGCATTATTGATAAGTTTAAAATTGGAAATTTGCTACGTGTACATTCATCCAAAATCTTAAAATTCTAAACATCTCTTAAACATCTATAACATCTCAAAACCGTACACATCTAAATCCAATAGTCACGCGCCTACCCGCCCGTCAAACGTTCACTGTGACGTCTGTCTGTCTGTCAAAGAACCCCATCCCCGCGCAACTGCTACTCGGTAAACGATTGACCCGGTACGATGGAGTCGGCCGAGACTGAGGGACTGAGGGAACCTAACCCAGCACCAGCCAGATGCGGTCGCGGTTATCTGTTAGACGAATGTGTTTCGATGTATCTCGTGTACGGCAGGGCGGTGCGTCGAATATGCCGTCAAACACCCGCGGGTGAATCTCGCCGTCGGACGATTGCGGATGGCCCGAATCAGTGGCATAGTAAGGGTATGGTGTGCTGTGCCTACGCCAAGGGCGCGAATGGCAAAGGGGCGCAAAATCATGCAAAAGTCGTATTTTTATCCTACAGTCAAAATCGAAATTTTTCCATTATACTTTTTGAAATACGTAGATGTTGTCTATTTGTACACACTATGTGTGTATTCAATGTTGAAATTATGAAAATGGCACAAGGACATTAAGATAAAAAATTTCATATGAAGAAATGATCGATGAATTTACCAGTCATAGAACGAAAAATGCAAATCTTCAAAGTTGAAAATTAACACTGTAATAATAACTTATATATATATATATATAAATTGTATACTAATTTAAAATATCATAACGTTAAATTGTAATTGGTTAAAAAACGTTTTTCTATGTTTTCCAGGAGCGCTAGCGAATCTTCTTACGCCACTGACCCGAAACTGACGTAAATACGGTTCGTTGTCTGTTTCAGGTACATGAACGGTGAGCTGAGAAGGGTGTGCTACATTCTCTGGCCGGACGGAAGGTACCCGAATTCAAAAACCGAATACATGTCAGTACACCACTTGCGTATTATTACCTACTATAAACCATTTGTAAACAAGTGAACCTGGTATTATATTATTGTTGCGCGTACATCGACATCGGTCTCGATTTACTCGGAGTCGCATGAAACAATTGACTCCGTATCACTGTATATTAAAATTATTACACGGATGCTGATGCAGGTGTGTTTCACCGCCACAGGGACTTGTACCGCTCTTAATCTGCGACCAGTGTTCAATCCGACGAGATCGTTTTCCGATTACTACCGCGACCCTGCAATTTACTGCACCCCAACGTATAGTGGGGTTCCGGTGATTTATATATTTGCGTTGGTTTGGTGCTGGCGGAAATAATGATCATTGATAAATGGGTTCCGAACCACTAGTCAAAAATCCAAACAAAAAATGTTATCAAATGTTTTTACTTATTTTCATTATGTTCCGCGTCTCAGGATCACTTTGCATGCGATCCTCAATTCTCCTCTATCCGTTGGTTTTCCCTTCGACTCATTATTTTTAATTAAGTCTTCCCGTCTTGTTGAGAGATCTTTTCCGACATGGGTTTCGTTCCATTAATTATTTGTATATTTTGTTCTGATTCCTTCGAGCACATCCCACCATTACCAGTATTCGAGCTTTCTAAGTACATCAGTCATATATTTTGTACTCTGATACAAAGTCTTTAGCTCTGAATATTTTCTCCTACTCTATTATCCACTGGTATTATTATCATTAACTGACCTGGAGATTTTTCATAGAGTCTTTTTTATTTTTAACTCCGCACAGCATAACCACAAAAATCGGAGAACTTACTGATCAGCTTACAGCCTAAACTGTCACACCGCGGTATGTATTTGAAAAATTGATTTAATGTACTTAATATATATATTTTTTTAATATTGTTATACTACACATGGATATGATGAGGACGATGGTCGTGACATAAATATTTTTTCTTGGAGCGCGTATGAATAAATTCTCGTCTTGACCAAAGAAAGTTAGTACACAAAAACAAACTGTCAATAAAAATAAAATCGAAAATCGAATGGTGCGTGAGTGGTTTTGGTTTCAATCCATTGGCATTATCTCTTTTACAACGCTGGGAAAGACATTTTTTCGCATTGAAAAGACTAATATCTTGTATCGAGTGTCCAACAACAGAAAAACATATTACAATCGAGTCTGATAAAATTGAATAATGTGCCGGTAAAACATTATACCTACATAATAACGTATACTTAAAGTTTATTTAGTTTAAAACTGATTTAATTTAATCTTATAATTTTTAAATACAATACATGATAATATTTTCCCGTCGAAAATCACGGGGCTATGTTGTCGATAGCATTACAGATTCTGATGAGATTTGCACGCGTAGGTATATCTGCAACATTGAGTGACTTGCTGACATGGTGGGCAAGAAGGGAGAGACGATGTATGAACAGGTTGAGAAGGACCGAGGACGAAACGGAAATACACGGAAAAGAATGCGGGTTTACTTTTTGTAGCAGATTTTTGCACTAGGTTGGTTTATATAATCCCAGTGCGCGCGGATCGTTAATTTTAAAACGTAAATCACCGACAAAATACGAGTGACCGCCACCACCACCACTCTGTTTAGTTGTTCCTATATTTCGTATGTAATATACCAAGGGTCTTCAAACATTTTCACTCGAGGGCCACTTAAAATACCAAAATCTGTTAGAGGTCCAAAATCTATTAACATATGTAATTATTAATTTTATAGAAATATATACATGTAATCAAAAAAAAATGTTAAGAAAAATTTGGATACAACACATATTTTTAGATTATTCACCGATTGTTGGGGGGGGGGTTAAAATTTGTTCGCAGCCCATGATTTAGAGACCCTTGTTAGCTTCAGATTTTTTGCGATACTGCACATTATTCAAATACGAGGGTATTTTTTTAGTATGTTCGCTTAAGTCGCATACGCAAAATTATTATAATAACGTTCATAAACATCTGATCTATGCAATTCTTCCTAAAACTACCGGTTCGTAGATGAAAAAAATATTACATGTTTAATAATCAAATCAATTATTAAAAATTGTATAGAAAAATAATCATTATGGCTCGATCACTAGGGAAAAAATTGCTTATAAATGGCTATTGTCAAAATTTACAACAATTTAATTAAGAGTTCGCATTCTGTAATTTATTCGGAATATTTTTTTAATCTACCATGTTATTATCAGTTTTTTTTCTTTTTAATTTTAAATATTATGATGTATTTAGTTTTTTTTATTGTTATAACTAAACTATTAGATTTTTAACGCTCTAATCCATTACAAACTTGGCTTAAATTATTAGATATATATATTATATAAGTACACATTTTATCTAAATGCTGTTATTGTATATAAATAAAAAAAAAAAAAAATAATAATAATTATGTGAAACTCTTAGTTCTAGGGAGACTTCATGGTTGGGTGAGATACAAGGATTGGTGAACGATATCGGTATTTTAACCTTGAAACCAATATACCATTGGATGGATTTGTTTATATTTCTAAAAATAGTTGATATATTGGTATATCCAAATCTATTAGTAAAAAAGGATGAACTTTTAATGTCCAAACTTTCGTAAAAAAAAGCATCCAAAATTTCAAGTGCCTATAAATAGATTAGATTTTATTAAAACATTTTTAAACTATTAAATGTCTTTAAATTTCTAATGTAACTAGTCAGTAAATATTTTGAGATATTATGATTAATATTTATAGGATAGCAACTCAATAAATAATATTATTTATTAGGAATTCGTTGATATATCCGATTTTATTAAAATTTCATTTTTTATATTTATAAAAATATTTTTGAGCCATTCAATAATTGTATTACATTTTTTTTTTTAACAATTGTTTTAATAACTGTTATAAAATTTATAAAATTCGTAAAATTACCACTTCAAAGTACCAACCAGAAACCATTTTTTATCTTTGACTTCTTGAAAGCTGATAATTGGAGCAATCCTTCCGGTCGAAATCAATCACACACACAATAATACTTATCATGGTAAAACCAAAATATTCCTGATTTCGTTTACAATCTAAAATCATACATTTGACACGCTGTTCTGCTAACGAAAAAAGTGCGTTATTCAGAATTAGAAACTTGATAATACCATGTGGATAGTTGTAGTTAGGCGTAAGTGAATAGATGATGAGAAGAGGTGAAAAGAAGCGAAGGCATGAAGGAGAAAAATTAAATAATATTAAATATAAAGAAAAAAAATCACTTTTGGATAAAGACATATACAGTAAGAAAATATGCAGGTTACGCGATGACCTATTTTTGACTCAGCGAATGCGTAAAAATATACAAGCTAAAACAAATATGGTTAAAAATAATTAATCGTCAATTTTTAAAAAAGGTATATAAGCGAATATAAGTAACAAACTGGCCGATGAGGGACCCTGATGGAAGCGTAAGAACTTAAACCTTGAGAAACGACCTCGTGCTACAAAGAAATCGGATTGGTTAGCCGAGCTTTCTGTGCGATATTATCACAACGCGATGAATTGTAGGAGAGGATTTTAAATTAGTAAATGTGTACAAAAGATTTTGCGAAATACTCGGGACAATTCGTTATCTCGTTACCTGCGAGATTCCGTCGTGACTAGGAACGAAAAGGCACTGGTGTATAAGATTTTGTTTTCAAAGTCGTACAAACGGACCGAAAGTTAAAGTTTAAAAAACGGATAATGTGGCATTAACAGGACTAACAGAAATTGTCAGGGGACAAGAATGAATGCAATGCATTAAAACGTGACCGAAATAGAGCGAGAGAAAGAAAAGAATAATTCAAAGCGAACGGTTGCGATAAATTGACTTTATCAAAAATATCCTAGTCATACGTTTGCATCTGTTAAGAATTATATTTGATTAAATTACAATACTCGACTCAGGGGATGACTTATATCATAGAATTATTGTGAAATTTAAAATAAATAATCTAAGCGGCACTCTATGATACCTACAGTTTTTTTCATATTCTGATTTAATTAAATTCTGTTAATTTCTATGGATTGCAAAAAAACAGGTAAGATTTATATTATTACGTTGGGATAGTTAAAACCATTGACTTTTATGTGAGTAAACGACCAAAATGTAGGTGAATATTTCGATGTTAGTTACACTCATTGTCAACGAACAGGTTCATGAAAGAAGTAAGACATAAACAAATGTTTAGTTTTAAAATAAAAATAATAAAGAAACTGGACAGTATTGAAGAGGGATGACACATTTGTTCCGAAATTCAATCTTTTCACTTGTTTGAAAACAAATCACCCTCTAAAATTCAAAACCAAATTGGTCGATGTGCAAAAACAACTGTGACCCTTTTTTTCTTAACGGCACACGACTTTGATTAATCGTCAATTCGAAATCGTTTTCTTATTGAAACGAAACGTATTACGAGCCATGGATATATATAGAATGTTTTTAAACAAAACCGCCTATTCCTAAAACAGTATTTCAATGAGTTTAAATTAATATTCACCTATAAAGATCGGAAAGATTCTGTAGCTTTCCTTTTTTCAAAAATGTTTAAATTACGTAATCATCGTAACTATATATGTTTTTTAACTTAATCAAATACTTTTGCTTATCAATGAACGTAAAAACATGATTTGCTGTGTTTGAAAAAAATCTAATTTTTTTTTTTTTTATATAGCAAAACCGCAGAAATTATATTACCGCTAACATGGCCATGATTACTCGTAATAAGAAGGTACATAATTAAATAAATTGATCGTAGGTAAAAAGAGCATGAACAATTAAAATTTTTCTTACCTGCATTATTATAATATCAATGTACTTGTGTTCCGTTGTTTAATATAATGCACATTTTGGATTATAAAAATGATTAACAAAAAAATTTTCAATTTTAATTTGTGTTTTTTTAAAAGACAACCATTTTTCGAAAACTCAAGAATAGAAATTATTTTTTCTATTGATAATTTTTACACTCACGATTATTTTT